GGGGAACGGCGCCGCCCATGCTCTTCGCATCATGACGGGTCGTGGAAGCTCGATATTTTCCGCAGGACGAAGAGCGTTCTCGTTCCAGTCACTCGACCACTCCCCTCTCGTTCTGAAACTCGGAGGCGTAGTCCTGTCGAAAGGACGGTCAGTCGAGGCCGCTGCAGACCGTTGGGTTGCCAATAGCAACCACCAGCGCTTGCGACGACATGGCGCCTCCATGTTAGCGAAAGGCACCTTCAACTTTGACTCTTGCCTTGTCCGCCGCATTGCTGCGTTCGTTCTCAACATGTGCATTGACACGTACGTTTGCTGAATGTCCCATTTACGCTCCCGAAGACCGCTTTCTGCTGCAATTACCACGGATCTGTGTCGCTCATGCGCATTCCGACCCATTGTTCGGTCGCCGCCTCATCGATGCTGTGACTCGAAAACTCGATCGGCACTTGTTCACCATCGCGACGACCTAAATGGTATAATATGAGTATTATGGCACTACTTGGGTCTAGCTGTTTTATCTACGTGATCATGACCCATTCTCCTTGGCACAGCCTCCGCTCCTGGAGACCTACTTGAGAACAAATTGTGTGACTATTCTTCGCACTTCCCTACCACTTCCGCCACTCTCTATGAATCATGCTTGAAATCAAGTCTATAGACGACATCGTACACATGAGCAAGGCAAGCTTCGTAGGATGCAGGTACGCTCTCGCCCAGTATATGCAAAGTCGACGGATGCCCTAACCACCGATGTAGCCCGGCCGCCCTGACGAACGGGACGCGCACACTGGCCACTTCTCCTTGGGCCCAGTCGTTCCCCGCTGAATTATTGGCGAGGATATTTCTGCATCTGCGCGATATATCTGTCCAGTGCTACGGATATCCGCGGCCGTCCTGGCTCGCTCTCACAGAGGTATGTTGGGCATGGAGGCAGGTCGCGCTTGACACTCCCGGTCTGTGGACCCATCTCGTGGTATACGGTCTGGGATATCCTGGGTTGCTCGAGAACATTCTAGCTCGCTCCCGCGGCGAATATATTCATCTCGTGCTGAAGCTGTTTGTGCCGCCAAATCCATCGAGTCGTCCACAACCATCGGATAGTCTGAACGTTCTCGGGAAGAACCTCCTTGACGGCTTTCGGGCGCATGGTGCACGCATCCTCTCGCTCACAGTGAAATCTTGGGCAGTAAATTGCTGGATGCTCATTCGAGAACTTGTCCCTTCTTGTACCTTTTCCACCCTCAGAACGCTCTCTCTCGAGGCGCGCCCAGACAATCCGGTTCATGTCGACTTTCCACGAAAATCATTCCCTAATCACGTCACCATCCACACATCCTCCGTTCACCTTGTCCTTTACGCCCATGATACTTCCAACATCCTGCGGACAATACACTACCACAGCGACCCTGTGCTCCTCCGTGCCTACGCATCCCTTTTCCCGCAAGCGCTGAAACAATTCACTGACCTCACGGATCTCCATCTCGGGTACTGTGGACCACGGGTGACACAAAATATACCCCTGCACGACATTTTTCTGCCTCGCGGGCTGGAGCGATTGTCGATTGAAGATGAGCCGTGGGAGATGCAGTCCGTCCTCTCGCACCTGATCTTCCAGAACCGTACGCAGCTCCAAGCAGAGGACGCTGAGGCAGGCGTGATGGATATCGCACTTCAATTCCTCGACCTCTCTGTCGACCTTCGGCAGAAAAAGCACTACACGGCTTGCGTCCTCGAAGACACGCTTCAGGCTTTCAAGTGGTGGGGCGTATACAGCTTCGTCTCCAGCTGCAGCTTCGCCCGCATTGATCTCTGGCCGAACTACGCGTTGCACATGGATGCCGGAACCTGTTCGAGTCAGGACACTCCCAAGTTCCAGCTCGCGTTCAAGAGGGGCCCGGAGGCCGTGATCGAGGACATCGCTGCTAACCTCATCCAGAATTACTGCCGCCTGTTTTCACCCGTCGAAAAGCCTGAGCCTGACGTCGCTTTCTCCAACTTGACCCATTTCTCGCTTCATGACGGGACGGGTTCTCTCGGACGACGTTTGCAATGGGGCCCGTTTTTGCGCGGCTTGCCGGCGAGCGTGTGTTCCCTCGCTCTGGGGAACGCGGACCTTGTCCGCGACTTCGTCAACGCCTTGCAGGACCTCGCTAAGGCCGCGCCTGAAAAGACATGTCGGGCGAGGAAGTCTGTGCACTTCAATGAAATCTGTTGTTGTGTGCACGACAGCATACTTTCGGAGCAGCGTCTGAAGACGGTCACTGGAATCCTGTTGATGTGTCGGAAGCGCAACGTTCTGAACGTAGACGAGTTGATTCTACGCTTGCCTGTCGATGCGTCCCTCCATCACCAGCCCGGCAAATCCACCGTTCCGGGAAAATTCGGGCGAAATTGTAGGGTATCGGCTTATCGCCAGGCCTGCGATACCTGCCATAGTCCGTCGAGCGTTCCCAGGTGAGTAACTCTGCATGGTTTCTCGTCGTTGGCATATCGCTCAAGACGACTGCACGCTGCATAGGCTCCCGACGGATCTCGCGGCCGAAAAGGCAGACCGTGCAACGGTTTGCCTCTCGAGCAATACGCGTCCTCCTACCTCGCCTTCGCATTGGGAGAATATTGAGCAGATCTGGGAGGAGCATATTGGCGATATGGCGGAGACATATGAAGACATTGATTGGACGTACATGAACATCTGAGACACGTGCACTAATATGCAGCACACAGCTTGACAAGTACGCATAAGACACTCCGGCCTTATCATCTCTGTATGTGTAATCGATTGCCTCGAATCTGTTGTGTGAATTGGTGATAGCACTGCGTACAAGATTGGAGTCGTTCTATCATTTTCACTCAGGTGGTCCTTTTGTCTCGCTAGGGCGGTCTCATATCGTTCCGCTACTCTTGGCTCTCGGGTATCGCGTCACTTGAAGCAAAAGAAAGACTCGCAAGGGGTCTAAGTGGATATCTGCGACCTTCTGAGGTGGAAAATAATTACGACGAGCACATCAACCTGCTATGCAAGAAAGCAACGCTCGCAGTGGGTCTGAGGAGGTGATAGGTGCAACTGGGCGTCGGCATGGAGCGTTGCGCTGTCGGTCTATCGTCTACTATATGGCTGCAATACTCACTCCGATTTTATGTCGGTACAGTAGCACCAAACGATTTGGGGTACCATTGACAGTCCCTCGAAGCCACCGTTGGGGCTGTAGCTACCATATGAGGATCTCAGAGTTGCTCAATTTCTCGCCGGTCGGTGACATATCATACACGACCATGGATGTTAACATTTAGGAAACAATATACTGGGAAACAAATGTAGCCTGTTCATACAACACCATAGAGTGACACCCACGCTTTGACGGCTTTACCTAAGTTGTCCTCCCAACCTTTGCCCTTAGGGAAGACGTACTTCTCTTGCTCGTCCAATCGTACTTGATTCAACATGTAGTCCACTGCATCCTTTCCAGATGCACCATCGTCTTCGACGTCTCCACCAAATATTCCGACAAACAAGCACTGTTGAAAATGCAGGCGAAAAAATCCTCGGGTTTCTTCGTCGTCGATCGCCACAACGGGGGACTCGGGTATCTTCTCCAGTGATAGAGAGTCATCAAAGGTATAAATCTTGCCATTGGGAAAACCTCGGACCTGTCATATTACGTGCTCCTGGGGTGAGTGGTTTCATGAAAATTTTGTATGGTATCAAGTTCAACTCACATACATATCAATCCCAAATGCATTGTTGTGAAAATGGCGATAGATATCATCGTCCATCATGATTACATTGTGGGGGACCGAGAATCCCTTCTCATCCCACGTCAGACTCTCAGGGTGTTTCATTGTTGGATGCTTGAAGCACAATCAGTTGAAATTGCCTCCACAGTTGACGCATCGTAATGAAGTAGCGTACCCAATATACCCACTGTGGAGGGTAGATCCAATGGAGATCGACTTTGAGTGCGCCATCCGATTGGTGACCCGTGACAACACACCGCCCTTGATAGTGAGGGAATTGAGTTGCTGGTCCCCTTACTTCAAGAGTAATCTCGTACTGGGTAAGGTGAGCATCTGTCTGGACTGCCTCTTTACAATCACTTACTCTCACGTCGCCCTCATGTTTTTCCGTAAATGATGTTTCATGCTTCAGAGTCCAGAAACACTCCGCCAATTCCAATCGGTATTCAATATCGAGTATCTTGGCTTCGTCCCATCCTTTGCCCGAACCTGATGATCATGAGTACCATCTCAACTAGAACTGGAGTTTTAGAAATACCTTTCAATAGAATAATGTAGTCTCCTGGTTTAACCACCTCATTGCGAGCAAGTTCGGCGCCACACGGTGGCAGGACTGGGAGGCACCTGATAGCGGTCCCCCTGGCGGTCGGAGAGTTTGGCTCCAGATCGATACCTTGCATGACAAGGCGATACCCGTCAAACTGTTGAGACGGAACTGACATGGAACACTCTATCCAGTTGAGTAAAGTCTCCACAGTGATTTTACCCATACGACGGTCGTTGAAACCTATGTGTGTTAGAGGTCAGGCATAAGGATGATAGATGTCGGTTAATTTCACATAGCAAACTCACAGCCTAGCAGCCGAGTCGGTGACCAGAAAAATACATTGGCGCAGCGCGTCTTGGCCACTGCGGTGTTATGAGCGAGTTTGATGCAAGCAGCTGCCAGTTCCGACTGTTTCGTAACCTTCTCAGTGGAAGGTGGAAAGACGTCTTCCATATCTGAAGGGTTTCAAGCACAGAAGCTATGTGAGAGGAGTTGGATGGAAGAGTCAAGTATACCAAGTAGGCAATGTAAAGGAGACATGAGCTACTTTATATGTATCAGATAGGCGCTGCCGCGTGGTCCCGAGGTGTCCCAAGTGTACATGTCAGCGTGCTCCTAACACCCGAGGCACCCATAGTAACACTTCGTGGATATGGTACTGTCTGAACATAGGGAAACTGTCTGTATGGTTGAGGCACCGGCTACGACTCAACATTAGTACGACATCGACGATGCCGCCACTTTCGAGTCTCCATGTCCTAGAGTATAGATTATGTTACATGTATATGAAAGGGCTCAAGCCAGCTGCCAGGATATCACGTTAAGGTGGGTCTGAAGTTCGAGGTTCATACCAGACCGGAAGGGAGGAGCTCTTGGAGATCGATAAGGACGGGGATGTGTCCTACTGATCCAAGAGACCCAGTGATTTCTTACCACGCACAAGATGGTTCGTACGAAGTATACACCACACCCGCGTGGCTAGGGTAGGCATCTTCTGTGACGCGGTGCAGGGCGATTTCGCAAGAACTTGATCCTTCAGCATGCCCCAGTCTCCTATACGTTTTGCAGAGGAGGTTAGGACATTTGTGCAGAAATATCCTCGCCAATAATTCAGCGGGGAACGACTGGGCCCATGGAGAAGTGGCCAGTGTGCGCGTCCCGTTCGTCAGGGCGGCCGGGCTACATCGGTGGTTAGGGCATCCGTCGACTTTGCATATACTGGGCGAGAGCGTACCTGCATCCTACGAAGCTTGCCTTGCTCATGTGTACGATGTCGTCTATAGACTTGATTTCAAGCATGATTCATAGAGAGTGGCGGAAGTGGTTGGGAAGTGCGAAGAATAGTCACACAATTTGTTCTCAAGTAGGTCTCCAGGAGCGGAGGCTGTGCAAGGAGAATGGGTCACGTAGATAAAACAGCTAGACCCAAGTAGTGCCATAATACTCATATTATACCGTTTGGGTCGTCGCGATGGTGAACAAGTGCCGATCGAGTTTTCGAGTCACAGCATCGATGAGGCGGCGACCGAACAATGGTGTCGGAATGCGCATGAGCGACACAGATCCGTGGTAATTGCAGCAGAAAGCGGTCTTCGGGAGCGTAAATGGGACATTCAGCAAACGTATGTGTCAATGCACATGTTGAGAACGAACGCAGCAATGCGGCGGACAAGGCAAGAGTCAAAGTTGAAGGTGCCTTTTGCGAATATGGAGGCGCCATGTCGTCGCAAGCGCTGGTGGTTGCTATTGGCAACCCAACGGTCTGCAGCGGCCTCGACTGACCGTCCTTTCAATAGGACTACGCCTCCGAGTTTCAGAACGAGAGGGGAGTGGTCGAGTGACTGGAACGAGAACGCTCTTCGTCCTGCGGAAAATATCGAGCTTCCACGACCCGTCATGATGCGAAGAGCATGGGCGGCGCCGTTCCCCGCCTGGCCCTCCAGCTCTCCTCTCTCCATCATCCTCCCGG